AATTATCGTCGATGTCTATCTTATTTCGGTTCCATCTTATTTGTGTCATGACATAATTTATTGAGATCTCATTATTTTCATTTTTTCAGGTACCTCAGTTTCTTTTGTTATGTCATTGGGCTCTTCTGGAGCTTCATTAATATTTTCAAAAGATTCTGTTTTCTCTTTTGGGCCATCAATTATATTTGGTCCCTTTCGTTTTCGAGGATTTTTATCTTTGGAACCGGTTGGTCTTCCACACTTCAGGCGTGCCTTTGATTCATTTGTAGTTGTATTTTTTCCTTCTGGGATATCAATTCTAACTTGAGTAAGTATAGTTGGTACATGAGACTTTGTTACCCACTTAGGGTCAGTAAATGCTTCTGGCAATTGATTTGCTACATTTTGTAAATGAATTATCTTTTTTATTTCAAGTTCACATCGACTTGAACGAGGATCTAAAACTGAAAGTGAGAATTCCTTTCAAGAGATTTTATTTTCCAGCTTCTTTATTTCTCCCCTTAATGTTGGAAAATATGATTCATCAAAATAATAATCATCAAATATAGCTGTAAATAAATCTCCAATTGATGATTTTAAATATTTTACTATAGATGGAGATTCATATCCAGCATAAATTCTCATTCTTCTTGAGGACCCATTTTTATGAAGTGAGGTGGAGAAATGGGTACATAAATTATACATCTAAACATCATTGGATGGTAAATAATTGGTTACTGACTGCAAACCAGTTGAATAGGGGAGAACTCATGATAACTAGTTGTCATTATGCATATAAGTGATGTTGCATGTAAAATTGCATGTCCCCATGTCGATGTAGGAAGTTTAGAATGCATTAGTAATGGTCTTGCAATTAATTGAAGGGGTTTGATTAACGACTCAGCTAAACCATTTTGTGTATGAACATATGCAACATAATGTTCAATAGTTGTCCTAATCGACATGGAATAATCATTAAAAGCTTATGATGTAAATTCTCCAACATTATCAAGTCAAATTTCCATAATTGGGTAATCGAGAAAATGTGCCCTTAGGCGGATTATTTGTGCTAGTAATCTTGCGAAACCGAGATTACGGCTAGATAACAAGCACATGTGTGACCATCTAGTTGATGCGTCAATTAAGACCATAAAATATCTAAATGGTCCACATGGTGGATGAATTGGTTCACATATGTCCCCTTGAATTCTTTCTAAAAAACTAGGACTTTCATACCCAACTTTATTCAATGATGGACGGGAAATTAATTTTCCTTGAGAACATGCAACACAAGACAATTCATTAGCTTGAAAAATCTTCTGGTTTTTCAAGGAATGTCCACTTGAACTTTCAATTATTTTGCGCATCATAACTGATCCGGGATGGCCCAACCGGTCATGCCAAACTTTGTAGATGTTATCATACCTTTTATTTTTAATAGCATGAGATTTAATCATTCTAATATTTGTATAATACAATCTGGAGGACAATACGGGTAATTTTTCCAAAAGACTTTTCTTACCCGATATCATTTTTGTAATATTGAGATACTCTTTATAACCATCATTGGTTGTTTCAACATGATATCCGTTGGACCGAATATCCTTAAAACTTAATAAATTTCTTGATGATTTTAATGAAAATAATGCATCACCAATTGTAATTATTGTCACTTGTGGTAATACTATATTCGCTCTTCCGGAGCCTTCAATCTTGGTGATTTAGACGAAAATAATGCATCATTAATTTGTAATTAGTGTCCCTTGTTGTAATATTATATTCGCTCTTCCGGAGCCTTCAATCATTTTTACATTACCTGTTATTATATTAACATTTTATTCTCTAATTGATAAGTAAGCAAAATACTTTTCATTATTAAAAATATTATGTGTTATTGCATTGTCTGCAAGAAATATATCTTCATTATTTCTTTTATGAATATCCATATTTCTTTTCAATAAATAAATAAAACATAAGAAACATCCGACTTGGAGAAATAAATTCATATTTTATTAATTTGGGAAGATTGTGACGACGCCATTTCTCATGAAACGAATATGACATAAAAATTGTGACGACATCATTTCTAATGAAACGAATATGACATAAAAATATAATAAATGTCGTGAAACAAAACTACACATTTTTTTTGATCAATCACCATCCATATCACCACTTGTCCCTTCAGGGTAGACAAGAAAATCGACAACATCCAAATGTATCATTTCTGATTGATCTTCATGGATATCACTTTGAATAAAATTTGTTTCGATATTTTTCTTTATATTTTAGAGAATCTTCATAAAGATCAACAAAATGCTTTGGTAAGCGGCATGTACAAGACTAATGATCGGTCATTCCACATTAGTGATAAACATTTTCATTTTTTTTTTGCCTTGAACACTTTTATCATTAGGATGTAGATTTTTGTTGTTTTTCAACTTCTGGTGGTTACTTGTAATCTTGTTATTTTTATGATAATTATGATAACCTCCACGACCTCGGTTAGACTCATAACTATTATGATTATATGAGTTGCATTCACTTCAGGGAATGTACTAGAACCGGTCAGGATTGATTGATAATTTTTCATCAACAACTCATTGTTTTGTTTAGCCACAAGAAGACACGAGATTAATTCATATTTATTTGAAACATTTCTCATGATATTGCTACTACAGGAGCATGTTAGTAGTATGAAAACTAGAGAAAGTTTTCTCTAGCATTGTTTTCCATAATGAAAATAGAAATCAAAATAAAGACTTGTAATGTAAAGAATTGTTAGTTAAGAAATTCCATAAAATAAGTTGTAAGCATTGTACATGTAAAATTATAAAAAAATACATACCTGAAAATGACAAGACCAATAAGGAGTTAGAGTTATATGGTAGAGTCGTGCTGATAACGTGTTATAAAATATGATCAAATAACAATATAAATTATAGAGTGAAGAAAGATATGAGAGTAGAGAGAACTTTTATTCCAATACTTGTGATGAATTCATATAGTGCCTAATACATATGGCTCACTATTTATACTATCCAAATAAGATGAAAGATAAGCTACAATATGAATGCACATTATGATGGTGTATTATTACATTCATAAAACACATTGAAATGGTTGTTACTAATGCTAAATAATGATGGAGAGTTATGGGAGAAATGGAGAATCCAATGGTCATTCACAAACTAATATTTCATAACAAACTGTAGAATTATTATAAAGAAACTATATTTGTGTAATTAATTAACTTAAAATGATAAGATATGAACTGTCAAAAATCATTCTTATTCATCCTCTTGCATAATTTTAAAAAGTTTTTAACTTAATAGGCCACTTACTTGGACGGTTGGACCAATGGTCTCGTCTTATTATAATTTATACCATGCATTCTGAAATATCAATTTAAAACCATGATTAGAAAGAAAAAAAAAAAACGTATATAAATGAACTATTATTTTATTAGATTATAAGATAGAGTAAAATACAAAACTGGTCCATGTGGTTTGGTTAGAATAGTATGTTTGGTCAAACCTTTAAAAATTTGACAATTTATATCTTTGTGGTTTCCACATCTTAAACCAATGGTTCATCCTTCTGACGGGGATAAAAAAAATCCAATAAATAAATATAAAATGATCAATATATCCTTTATTTTGTTATTTTGTTGTTGTTGTTTTTTTTAATTATCAATAAATTATAAATATAACAACTCAACAACCCACAATTAACCCTTCGCCCGTTCGATTAGCTTATTTGATAACACTTCTAATAACCGCCATTGGTAAGAACATATTCATAATAATTGTTTTCTTTCTACGCAAACATAAAATATAAAAAAATTCCTAATCAACAACTTATTTCGAGGCACACGTTCTTAAAAAAATATTTGAGAAATTAAGATGAAAAACATACTCATAAAGTTTTAAAGCAACAACATCAAACTTTGTTTTATACACTCTAGCAATTAAATCCATGAAGAAACAAGAAATCATCAATGATTTAACAATTTTAGCAGAGCAATAGTTTTTTGTAATTAAATCTCCCGAGCTATGAAAACGTTAATTCTTATTTACGGGAAAATTCAGTATGATCACAACCATTGCTAATTTCTTATTATATGATATACACAAATATGAAATGACAACCATAAGAGATAACACCAAGCTCACAAAATTACTTGATTGAGACTAAAAGTAAATCGATAATTGTTATTAAAGATATCGATTTTTTAGTAGATATCACCAAATAGTAAACTGATAAGAAATTTATTTTTTTGGATTTGCCTTAAAAAGGGACAAACTCAACAACTTTGAATGATCTTTAACATGTGATAGAGATGTTGAGTTAGAGGCGCTGAAGAAGGGATCCTACCATAAAGGTTTGGGGTCGCCATTATCGTCGAAAATTGGTCTAACAATCAAGTTGGAGGCAGGTGATTGATGAATGGGAGCCTTGATATGTCGATCTTGGTTATGAATGAGTGGTGGCGATGAAGGAAGGCGAATTAGTGGTTGAAGTGATAGTCTTTAGTCTCTTAGAGGGATATATGAGAATAAAAAAGTTTTATTTTGATACCTTTATTTTTTCTTTTTTATGCTTTTCGTTTTGTTATTTACAAATTTAGTCCATATAGGTTATACATTTTGTTGACATGGTCCAAGGGTAATTTGGTCATATTCAATAGTTAACCGATGAAATCTTAGTTTTGACCATTTCCTAATATTTGGACCAAACCTACAATACCTACTAAACCATAAGGGCCATCTCTATAACATACTCAATATCATATTTTACTACTTTGACTATGGAACAAAACCATAACCATAGTTGGGCTAGTACACTCAGGTGAATAGTTAATAAACTACTCCATTTACCAGTGTGGTTGGATATTAGCTGTCAAAAAGATATATTATTCCAAATATGACGTCATCCGACTTTTTATCGGTATTTTTGTTTGATTATGCATTTAATTGCCCTTTTATAAATAGCCACTCAAAAAAAGTCTTTCAAAATCCCCTTTCCCCCTCGACTCCTCTACACACACTGACTCCTTCCGGCACCGGACATCTTCTCCGGCGAACGATTATTTGCTTTTATTTATACAACTTCGTAAAACCAAATCAAAGCAAGTTAAAGTTTGTGTATCGGTTTAATCTGACGCATATTGATGTATACACAGAAGAATCGGTTATGAAATTTGCACTGCAGAATCGGTGAAATGCACGCCGGAATTTGAGACGTAATAGGTAAGTTTTGGTTAGTTACTTTTGAGCGAAGTTATGCTTTCTGTTATGCTTTATGTGCGTATATTAGTTGATGTGATTTCAAAATCGTTCGTAAATTGCGAATTTGCAATTCATATACATGTTGTGTTTCAGATTTTTCGGATTTTTTTTTTCGCGTGGTTAGTTTATGATATTTCTATCCATGAGAAGACGATTACTTGAAAAGGAAAAGGAAAGTAGAGAAAATTTAGGATCGGTTAGGGTTTTATGGAAGATAGTCTTCAGGTTAAGAACGTTTCTGTTCTAAGTCTTAACATTAAAATTCACCAGAATTTAATTTTACTTTTTTTGAACACGAAATCATTCCAATGGTGCTCCAGTTGAATCAAGGATGATGATTTATGTTCTCCAACACTGTGTTCTTAGATTTTTCAAAGAAGAAAAGCAAAAAAAAGCTCTAATTTGATATGTGTTTTCATGTTTTCATGATGGGTTCTACTGTTACCTATATATACTAGGCTCTACTTTCAAACATAGATTAGTATATCATCAACTATGATGATATATCATCTTTCAATATTTAATTACAAAGATGCTATCAAGGGACCCATGCTACAATACAATAATGTCCAATACCTACGTTTTCAAATATTACGTCTAGCATGCATAATGACAAGTGTCCTTTTAGAAAAAAGACAATAGATTTTTTCTTTTGGATATATGATATAGCAGTAAACAAATGTCAAATACAAAGATAGTACAATCATCCCGAGAGTTTTTTAATGTCTTGTTTGTTTTTTCTTGTTGAATTGTCAACCTTTTGATTTAATGTTACTTGAAACTTTCTTACTCTTTTATATAAATGAAATGAAACTCTTTTTCTATCCTAAGCACAGCTTCTAGGAACTTTACATATGTGTTCTTTCCAATACTCTCATATAATTTTCTATTATTAAATTTCCAAAATTTCTAATCCAAATTACAAATATTTAGTCATATCAAGACAAAAAGAATAACAGCAAGTGGTTTAAGATGATGGAACACAAAAGAAGTCCAGTATCTGTTGAACAAGGGGGGAGCCTTACTTCTTTGACACCAAAAAGACACAAAACTGGTTTATCCATCTCCTCTAAGGTTAATAATGTAATTTTGTATCATTCTATAAATCTCTCATATGAGAGATTTATACAACATGTAACTACATAAATAGCTAAAGATTTCATCTTTACTTCTTGATTTTGTTAATAGGAAAGAAAAGAGAAAGTTGGTGAAAGAATTGCAGCCCTTCAACAGCTTGTTTCACCATATGGAAAGGTACACTAAATTTTTATAAATTCAAATTACTAAAAATAGCAACATACTTTTATTTATTTATTTATTTATTATTATTTATAGCAATGTACTTTTAATTGCAGACAGATACAGCTTCTGTACTTCTTGAAGCAATGGAGTACATACACTTTCTTCATGAACAAGTCAAGGTTTGACCACTTTCAAGTTTGACTATTAGTCAAATATCCAAAAAGAAAAAATGTGGGCCCCACAATGATTGTTATTTTGTTTCAGGTGCTAAGTGCTCCTTACCTTCATAGCAACTCAACGAATGAATATCAGGTAAGAACCGAAGGCATTTACGTCTTTTGCATAAATCAGAGAACTAATAAACAATACACAGTACACAAATGTAAAATTTTTGATGTATGATCGTTTGTAGGAATTAGGGCCGTATAACTTGAAAAACAAAGGGTTGATTTTGGTTCCGATTTCGTCTACAATGGGAGTTGCTAGTAGCAATGGAGCGGATATATGGGCCCCAATCAAGACCAATTCCGATAATCGTAGAAAACTAACAAATATGATGTAGATTTCTTGGTTAGGGGGAGGAGAGTTGGTAGAATATATATATATATATATATATATATATATATATATATATATATATATATATATATATATATATATATATATAAAATAAATAAGAAATTATATTTATAGGGAATGTATTTATTGGTGGATCTACATTTGTGTTTCAACTAATCAAATGTAGGTTGATGAATGAAGGGGTTTTATTATATATTGTAAATTGTAATTATCTCAAATGGAGATCGATTTATATATGTATCGGATGAGAAGTATATTGTTCTATATTATTAGAAAAATTAAATCATCGGATAAAACAACTTAAAAAAAACAGATTTTTCTGTTCTGTGTGTGACTGGATTTATACCTCAAATTAGTTTATGTGCAAGTAAATGAGTTGAATTTGAAACTTCTAGTTGATCTTAATCACAGTTCTACAAATCGTATTGAAATAAGATGTTCAAATTAGAAATCGATTTATTTCCATAGAATAATCAATACATTCTTTGAAATCTATGTAAATACGAGACGACAACGTAAACAAAAAAAAAAAAATTAATAATAGTTCATCATCAACACAATTCTAAGTAAAAGTTGTGGATCCAATTATTCAAATGAGGATATCGTAACATGAAGTTTTCATTCAACACAAAATCTTCTAGCCAACTTACCAATGAGGAATGACTGGGGCTATATAGATTGAGCCTTTCTGCCAAGCTGTACTTTCTTCTTACTAACAATAGTGGCCGCTGCAGGCGCTGCGCCAGGTGTGAAGGGAAGAAAAGGTGGTATCACTGTAGTTGCTGGCGCAGGTGCTGGTGTGAAGGATAAAAAAGGTGGCAGCCTAGGGGCAGGCGCTGCGCCTGGTGTGAAGGGTAAAAAAGGTGGCATCCAAGTGGCTGGTGCAGGCGCTGCACTTGGTGTGAAGGATAAAAAAGGTGGCATCCAAGTAAGTGGTGCAGGTGCTGCGCTTGGTGTGAGGGGTAAAACGGGTGTTTGACCGTTTGTTGCCCAACAACAAGTGCTAGTGTGACCCGAGCAGCATGCGATTCCTTCCACCGTCATTGTCGTTGTCCCTAAAAACAGAAGCATCAAACCAATCACCATTTGCTTGTTACCACCACCCATTATGCAATTCTCTCTTGTGCTTAATTAACCTCTTTATATTGCATACACAATTGTAATTTAGCCTATATATATACACATGTAACTCGTAACCAACATTACTTTACAAGATTGTAAATTACTATGTTCATTGGGATGTTCATCCATATCTTGTATTTTTCCTTTAATGTTAATGAAGAACAAAATAATAATAATAATAATAATAATAATAATAATAATAATAATAATAATAATAATAATAATAACTTGACTTATGAGAAAATGATGTTTAAGAGAAAGCGTACTTAGAACTTAGAGGAGTTTAAATATGCTACAAAAATGATCGCAGCTTATATTATGTCTGAATATTATTACGATTTTATGATTTTTAGGGTAAAATAATTAGATTTGTGAGAGCATATACAAGTTTACTAGAAGCATCTTACTACTTAGAAATTATCTATATATAATTGTAATCAAATAGTTACGTCATTCTGGTTTCCGGAATCATGATGATCATTTTAATTGTGGAAGTTCTCTCTCTTTTTTAATGACTTATTAACTATTTCAAAAAAACCAATAACTTAAAAAAAAATGATTGATAAAATTAACGTTTTAAACAAAAAATGATTTTTTTTCAAAAAATCAGAAATACATGATTTTTCCAAAAAATTGTTAAGGAGATTGAAAAACACCCTCAAACCATGCTTGATGTAAGAATTAACAAGTTAATTAGGTCTCATGTTCAGTCATCGTTCTTACATCAAGGCGGCAGGCGAACACGAGCATAAAGTTGCATCACTAACTTTTTTTAGACGACAAAACTAATTTTTATAAAAAACTACATCCATAGATTTTGGAATAATAACATTACAGTGGATGACCTGTAAGATTCTATTGAAGAATTTCATAGCATCTCACACAAAAAATGGTATAAACATCTATTGCTTTTCCATGTATGTTAATTTTTTTTTGTCACTTTGCATGAAACAACTTTTAAAATATTCTTCCCACAATGAAACCGACCTTACTCATCAAATCCATGAGAAGAAAAGCCGAAACTTCGACCGGTCTGAGGGGGGACGAAATCATGACAAAAAGGAGAGATACGCCTGGTACCTCCAAGACACTACTCCCTCCTTAGTAGGTTGGGAGTGATGAGTTGTTTAATGGTTTTACTAACCCTCTCTCTCTCTCTCTCTCTATATATATATATATATATATATATATATATATATATATATATATATATATATATATATATATATATAATGGGTTGGGAAAAAAAAGATTTCCATGTGTCGTGGGTTGAGAAAGTTGGAAGAGAGAGGAGAAAGAAAACCTGATGTGGAGGTGATATAACAGTAGGTTGTGTGAGTTGGGATATAAGGAATTAGGGAAGAGGGAATCATTTACTTCCAACCCACTTAACACACCTCCACATCAACATCACATTAACTTTTCTCTATCTTCTCTCTTTCAACCCTTTTAACCCACAATACAAAGGAACATATCTTTCCAAACCCACTCAAGCCACTCAATTTTTATGTGTTTGTGTGTGTAGAGAATATGAAAACCAAAAAAAAAATTAATAATAAAGGCAATGCAAGACAATCTTAACGGCTTCACTAACCTGCTCAACTATCAAATTTTCACCCACCCTTCAAATCCTTCAAATCTGCTGGCAAATGTATCACATGTAACGCCCGTAGATCCGAGCTAGTCAATTTACGAAATGATAAGTGTCAAAAATGACTTTTTGATAGAAGATTATTTAGAAGGAGCAATCTTAACTAATTTATAGTACATGTTACAAGGATTTCGTGCATATAAAGAACGCTGAAATTCGAGTTATAACGAAGAAGTTATGACCCGTCGAAGTTTTGCGACAGAATCGGCACGACGCTGAATGACGTAAAAAGTGAATTTACGTTAGAGCAATATTTAGCGTTAGCGATCTAAACAAAAGTCATAGAATACATTAAACCGAAAGCGTGCATAGAAGAACGCCCAAATCTGACTTCGTATGAGGAAGTTATGATTTTTCCAAAGTTTCGACTTAGCAGTATGCAGCCCGAATCATCGATTTGAGATCGAGTGATTTTTAGCCGAAACAATCTAAATGAGAATCGAAGATCTCATCAATAGTAGTGAAACGATAAAAAGATAGGCGGAAACGGAAGTCAGATGAAGAAGTTATGAATTTATAACGGAGTTTTCCTATCACAGCCTACTAAAAATAATATCAAAATAATATATTTATAATATATTAAAAATAAAGTCAAAATTAACCAACAGAGTCTAAACGAGAGTTGTAGAGCATATTCTCACCTATGCGTCGATATAAAGAACGTCGAAAACGGAGTTCGTATGCGAAAATTATGAATTTCTGAAGTTCGGGGCGCGAAACCCAAAACTGTTAGCCACCATGACGTGGTAAACCGTACCACGACGTGGCAAGGGAAATTTTTTCCCTATAAATAGATTTGAAGGGCCAACCGAGTTTGGGTTGCTCCTGCTCCTCTCTCACACTCCCGATACCATCTATAGCCATCCCGAAGTACCCCCCAAACCCCGGTTTCATCCCGAGACCCGAATAAAGTCCCGAAGCCCGAAGATCTCGAGAAGTGAGATTCCCGAGCCGAAGCTCTGCCCGCAAGAAGCCCGGTTTTTGTGAAGATCTTCCAGATCTACCGAAGAATACTACTTCTACAAGCCGTAGTGCTGTCCGATCATCTTCTGATCAAGTGAGTGTGTGGTCACTTTCTTCTAACACATAAATATTAAGTATTTGCTATGAAATACGTGCTATGTGTATAATATAAAGTTGTTTATATGTGTGGGTGTATAGTCCCTTTCATAAACACAAGTATAATACAAGTATTGCTTGAATGTATTAAGTATATGTTTGGGTGAGTGTATAGTTACTTTCTTCTAACACATAAATATTAAGTATTGGCTATGAAATATGTGTTATGCGCTTATATATATTGTTGTTTATATGTGTGAGTATATAGTCCCTTTCATAAACACGATATTAATTCAAATATTGTTTGAATGTATTAAGTATATGTTTTGGGTGAGTGTGTAATCACTCTCTTCTAACACATAAATATGAAGTATTGTCTATGAAATACATGCTATGTGTTTATATATTGTTGTTTATTTGAGATAAGTGTGGAATGGATGTTTTATATAGTTTTTTTTTTAAATGAGTTAAACTGTATATGTATTTTATATCTACAAATATGTTGGGTAGAACATGGTAGATGAGATAGTTGGTATGTGATAAAATGATGAGGTAAATGATGAGGTATGAAAGATGATTAAGCATAATATTGGTAGATGCACCAAATAGAGAATGACATAATGCTAGCGGATGCGCTTAAGCATAATATTGGTAGATGCACCAAATAGAGAATGTCATAATACTAGCAGATGCGCCTAATAGTGAATGTCGTAATCCTGGCAGAGGCGCTTAAAGGATAATGTTGGTAGATGCGCCTTCTGTAGCAATGGAAGTTTGTGTTAATTCCTTAGGTCAATCGTTAGGAATGAATGAAGGAAGGATAGTTGATTAATAGGGTAAAACCTTGAGAAATAAGAAGATAATGGGGTTGGGTAATTGGGTTGATTGTTTGATGATTGAATATAATAATTATATTATTGTGGGTCGAAAACCCAATATGCTCACCAGGCTCCCAAGCCTGACTCACTCAATTTTCTTTGCATTACAGGTAATGGCACAAGAGTATAAGTTGGTGGACTTGACGAGAGATTTTGGATTATAGATCAGTAGTTATAAATAACTGTTGTAAGGTCTATTTATATTGTTTATGCTTTTGGTCTGTATCGGAACATGACATCCCGAGATTTTGTTATTTAATAAAAATACATTTCTTTAAAGAAATGCTTTGATAAATTCTTATCATATTTTGTTTTGGGAACAAATTCTGCAACCGTTTTCTTTAAACGAATACTCTGATTTATATAACAAAGCATAAACAAATCGATCTTTTCTGACCGTGA